ATGATTAAATATATATAATTAGTTCATTGATTATAAAAAATTTATTACTATTAAATATATATTAGAAAATACAATTTTCTTAATTAAATGATTATAGATGTTAGATCAACTTTAAAATTGACATATGGATGATCTATATCAATGAAATATTAAATCTAATAATTAATTTTTAAAAATATTCATTAGAAAATAGTGTTTTTAAAGTTGAAACTCTATCTTTTTTGGAGTAAAACATGATATGCACTTTTATGAGTATCATGACTATATAAGTATATATACTTTTATGCATTATATATAAAGATTAATGTGTATCAATCTTAACTTTAAAAAAAGTTAGATTCTCAACCTATATTTGTAAATAGAAATCTCAATTCAAAATTTAAAAATTTATTATTTAAATATTGACATCTATATTTGAAAACCAAGGTTTTTAAAATCAGATCGGATTGATTGGTCGTATCAGATGAATCGATACTAGCTAGTCCAAATGGTTTGGTTATATCTTTCAAACCGTTTAAATGGTTAAATCATTTAAAACTGCTCAAATCGATAAACCATTTGAAACCGCTCAAATCGATAAACCATTTGAAACCGCTCAAATCGATAAACCATTTGAAACCGCTCAAATCGATAAACCATTTGAAACCGCTCAACGAGGCTTGAACTTGCAACCTTATAACCTTTGTTTTGATCCTTTGCCACTAGGACGATGCAATGCTTTGGTCAATGAGTGCTTGGACTTTTATTTAACCATATAATTGCCAAAGATTTTAACCATATTCTGATGACAAGCGAGAAATTCGAACCCTCATTCTCCATGTGGTAGAACAAAGACTTTTCCACTTGTACACAAACGTTCCTTTGTCAATTTGATGCTTTACAATATACTTATTTTATTTTTAAAGAGCAATTATATTAAATTTTGTTATTGGGGAAGGCTTGAAATTCGGATCTCTCTTATAAAAAATCAACAACCTATCAAGTAAATTTTTTGCAAAATCATATATTTATAGTATTTGATCAACCCAAAAGTTTTACCTATTAAATTGGTTAAACCGGTCAAATCATAAATTGAAGGTCAAAACGTTTTAACTTTCGGTTCGGATTTGAAAACATTGTTGAAAACAAATTATATATTTTAATATAATTAATTTTCAAATTTAAATATTAACATTTAATTAAAAAGATTTTTAATGTTTTACTTTCTAATTTTTATGTCTTTTTATTATTTTAAAAATATATAAAATATATTTAATATTTATTTTAATTAATATTTTATATATTTTTAATATATTAAAATATTAAAAAACTTTATAACTACAACTACAAATCAGCATTGTCAAACTAAAAGTCCAAGTCTTACTTTTAAGCCACTCTCGGCCTAATTTTTGAACAACTTGTATTAGAGTCATGGCGTGGCAGCCCAAAAACCAGCCCCAAAGAAAAAATGAAAAAAAGTCATGGCGATTGATCTTGGGCCTAAAGAGTGTACGGAAGCCTATGGTTTTACAGCAAGGCCCCTTGATGGCTGCATATCATTGTGGTCAGAAGCTAAGGAGATATGTTGCCTATTGCAAGTTGATGTTAAATCTATGCACCTGAGCTTGGGCTAGGAGGTTTAACTATTATATTTCATAAATTTAAATTTTTTTAAAAAAAATTATATTTTTTAATTTTAAAAAAATCTTAAATAATAAATTTTGAAAAGTTTCAAATGCAAGTTTTTTTATAATTTTTTTACTTATTTTTTACTTATTTTTAAAAATAATTTTAAAATTTTTATTTTAATAAAAATTTAA